ACCCCCCCCCCCCCTACGGTCTAACGACTACGGCATGCGTCTACACGAGTACACCCCCTCCCCCGGGCTAGCCTGGGCCGACGAAAACCCGGCATGTCGCTCCGTCCCGGCATCATAGGAATGCGAGGTCAACAGCAGTCTAACGACTTCGGCATGCCCTTTTCAATGGTACAACAAGCCCAAAAGACTCCGAAATACCTTGCTGCGCCGGCCCTGATTCGCCCGACAACAGCCAGCGCCACCGAGCACGCCTCCCGCTCGTCCACACCCACTGACAGCCCCTTCACCAGCTTCCTCCCCGCTCCCTCCAGACCCTGCCAGGTCTCGTGCAGACCCCACAGGGCCTCCAGCGCTCCCCATCCGGCGGAGCCCCCCTCATCGGTAGGCTTTTTCTTTGAGGGGGACTTGCTGCTCTTGCTCTTGCTCTCGCCCTTGTTGGCGCCGGGGTTAGTCTGCCAGAAGAGCGGCTTGGCAGCGATATCGGCTACGAGGCTGAAGAACTTGGAGCGGCAGAGCTCCAGCGTCTTCGGGGGCATGGCGGTCGCCGCCGCTGTAGAAAAAAAAAACACACACACACACACACACACAGCAGGGAAGAGGGAGGGAGAGGGAGAGGTAGAGACAGGGAGAGAGAGACAGCCGGAGTGAGAGAGAGACCGAGAGAAAGAGAGAGAGAAAGAGAGAGAGAGAGAGAAAGAGAGAGAGAGAGAGCAAGAGGTGCGGGGTGAGACGAGCAGAGAGGTAATCGACGTGGGACATTGGAGGATAGGGGCCAGAGGGGCAGACGACAGAGTCCAATGATGGGAGACAAAAAAAAAATATGTGGATGGATGATGTTGCATGCACGTTGTACGTGCAAAGAGCGGGACGGGAGGGAGAAAAAAACGAACAAAGCAGTGAGCGCACGTTGACGGATTCGATTCCACCTTACACAACAGCAACAAAAAACGAACGCTGACTCCTCAAACCCTGCGTGGGGATATAACATCACATAACATAACATAACATAACATAACATAACATACATAGTTTGATACGTGCGCGAGAGGCTCAATCTTTGTCCTTGTCTCCGTCGGAACGAAGTGGAGCCTACAAGTACACAATCCAAAAAAAGCCCACAGCAAAAAACACGAATTCTCTTTCCCCGGCTGCTTCTTCACCCACCAAAACAAATACTGAAACGCTTCTACTTGCCAATCGAGAGAAATCGAGAGCACCCTTTGCCCAATGAAACAGAACAGAGTAGCACCTATCATACCCTACCTCCATCCGCCGGGGCGAAGAAACCGGCCTCCAGGAAAAACTCAGCAGTCTTGGTGAGCCGCTTCCCCTGGATCTCCAAGCCACCCCCCCCCCCAGCAGCAGCAACAATCGCGGCGCCCCTGGCGTCCCTCTTGCCCCCGACCCCGTCACCACCCCCGGAACTCCTCGCCAAGGAGTAGAGGGCTTCCACGGCCTGGAGGCGTTCCGCCGCCGAGCCGGCATCGGAACCAGAACCGTCGGTGGGTTCTTCGGAGGTTGCAACGCCGTTCGCGACGGGCTCTGCCGCGACAAAATTGAGGGTTTAGCGGCACCGGGGCCGGCAGAGATCGATGTTGCCGTGTCGTGGTCATTACAGATCTGCGATGAACAACGGGTGAATTGCAGGGGAAGCCCTCCTACGGTGGATGAACCCCACGAACAAGACGTGAGGGTGGTGGTGAAATGCCGCTCTTTCAAGGACGCTCTCTCTTGCTGCACTTGCTGCATCACTGCTGTGGCGACGACGGCATCGGCATCCACAGACAAACATGAAAACGATCGCACAGCAGCGCCTGTCTCACGAATACGTGTAGGCAAGGTAGGTCTCTCACGCACCTTCGGAGCCTGCCCACCCTGGCTTGCCCCGCACAACGCCCTTGAGGAACTCCACGTGGGCGTCCAAGGCTTCCTGGAGGTTTTCCAGACGGCACGTGGCAGAGATAAGCGCATGTAGGCTACGAGAGGGACAAGACAGGCCTGAGGCACGTCGCACGCACACATGGCTAGACGGCGCTCGGCCACCGCAGATGCATCATGACGGATGACACAATCAAAGGCGTTGCTCCAGGTGCCATGTCACCAATGAGGGAGACACACCGCTGCGCATTCGCAACACGTGTAGACGTAGACGGCCAACAGAAAGTAGGAAAGTGCATGCCACATGCCGCATGTACCACAGGTAAGTTTGAGAGTGATATTGGCGCATGCCTGGCCTACGTCATGAGAGTGAGAGTGATACTTGAACATACCTGCCCCATCCCCTTTACGAGGGAAGACACCACGTTCACCCCGGTCCGGTTGTCGAAGCGGATGGAGCCCCTGCGGAGAAGGCACGCCGCAACCTGCGCCTGAACCTGACAACGAGAAACAAAAAAACAAATGCAAAAATCGGTCCTGATGTTCAACGAAGGCACTTACACTGCAAACACGAGCAGGCACTGTCTATAAATACGTCAACTAGCGAAACCCATACTGGGAAGGATATTACCACAAGGGGGGAGGAGGGAGGGGCGGCACGAAGCTCCCTCGTATTTGAGCTCGAAGCTGCGGGATGGTACATACAACGTCGTCGAATTGGCGGTGCTTAACTACATTTTGGGCAAGGGGAAAGTAGCCGCTCGATAGGCACTTCACTCATCACCTCATCATTTGCTACGATCTGAAGTACCCCCCCCTCCCTCCGAAGCATGCCGTGTGAGCTGGACACGCATGAAACGTACACACATACTTACCTCCTGATCATCCTTGACGATCTTCGGCAGCTGCTTGAGCGTCATGTGCACCAAGGAAAACAGGTAGTTTTCTTCTCCCTGCACAACAAAAACAACGAGAAAATCGCCCGGCCGTGCAGCAGTTCATTCAACGCTCAGTTTAGGCACCATCACACCGATAAAAAACGTACGTAACACACAAGCACAGACGCCGCAACACAGCAACAATCAACAACAGCCGTTTTCACACCGATCATCAAACTGCAGGTCGGCGCATCGTCAAACAACATGGTTGCAATCGTATGCTATAGCCTACACGGGCAGAAAAAGCAAATAAAAATACTTTGTGATCAGTAAGCAAACCAACAGAACAAGTATCTACCAGTTCCGCAAAACATCGATAACCCAGACATGGAATACGATTATACAAGAAAATCGTCTATGCCTACAATACCCAAAAATGAATGGAATACGATTAAAACAGGCGATGCAAACACAAGAATCGCGCGCCTTGGTGTGGTTGAGAATGAGGCGAACGATGCCTGGGGAGAGCACGTGCCACACACCCGCCGCCGGCACCCGTTGCAATACCTGCGTGCACGAAAAAAATAAATAAATCGGGGGATCGGAGGTGAGCGCGGCTTGACACCAAGACTACTCGGAATCAACAACAACCAAGAGTTCGAAGCTTTTCTTGCCACGTCAAACAGCAATTTCGCCATGATTCTCCAGTTGTTGCCACAGTCTTCGACGACGCTCCGTGGTGGTATCACATCATGACAGCAGTGGCCATGTGCTGGCTGGTATCATACTCGATGTGCTGTTGTGGTGTCGACGTAACGTTCATGTCTGTGGCACGCCGCAGCAACAGCATCAGAAGAAAATGGCAGCACAGCTGTGGCAGCAACTTCAAGTGTCGTATCGTAAACAAGCACTGATGCGGCAAGGATAAAAAAAAAAAAAATCTCATGTCCGGTCTAGCTTGGCTTGTGAATCATCGTTTTCATACACCCTATCACCAGACCCCTCTCACAGCCAAGAGGGGGGAAAACGAGAGCGACTAACCTGCTTGAGCAGGAGGACCGCAGTCCCCTTGTTGTTGAGCGACGTGTTCGTAAGAGCGCCGTCCACCACACAAGACCAAACCTGCTCCACAACACGACGTGAGGGGAGGGGAGGGGACGTGAGGGGAGGGGAG